AAACAATTTTTCATCCTTGCAACAGAATGTTATACAATTATAAAAATAATATTGCAGGGCTGGGGATGTGGCTCAAGCGGTAGCGCACTCGCCTGGCATGCAAGGGGCGCTGGGTTCAATCCTCAGCACCACATAAAATAAAATAAAGATGTGTGTCCACTGAAAACTGAAAAATAAATATTAAAAATTTCTCTCTCTCTCTCTCTCTCTCTCTCTCTCTCTCTCTCTCTCTCTCTCTCTTTCTCTCCCCCCTCCTCTCTCTCTAAAATAATTATAATAATATTGCATAAGAATGTTTACATTAAGGAAATGTTTACGTTATGGTAGTATGTTATGGTAGTATGTTATGGTAGTATGTTATGGCAGTATGTTATGGCAGTATGTTATGGCAGTATGTTATGGCAGTATGTTATGGTAGTATGTTATGGTAGTATGTTATGGTAGTATGTTATGGCAGTATGTTATGGCAGTATGTTATGGCAGTATGTTATGGCAGTATGTTATGGTAGTATGTTATGGTAGTATGTTATGGCAGTATGTTATGGCAGTATGTTATGGCAGTATGTTATGGTAGTATGTTATGGCAGTATGTTATGGCAGTATGTTATGGCAGTATGTTATGGCAGTATGTTATGGCAGTATGTTATGGCAGTATGTTATGGTAGTATGTTATGGTAGTATGTTATGGCAGTATGTTATGGTAGTATGTTATGGCAGTATGTTATGGTAGTATGTTATGGCAGTATGTTATGGTAGTATGTTATGGTAGTATGTTATGGCAGTATGTTATGGTAGTATGTTATGGCAGTATGTTATGGTAGTATGTTATGGTAGTATGTTATGGCAGTATGTTATGGTAGTATGTTATGGCAGTATGTTATGGTAGTATGTTATGGCAGTATGTTATGGCAGTATGTTATGGTAGTATGTTATGGCAGTATGTTATGGCAGTATGTTATGGCAGTATGTTATGGCAGTATGTTATGGTAGTATGTTATGGTAGTATGTTATGGCAGTATGTTATGGTAGTATGTTATGGCAGTATGTTATGGTAGTATGTTATGGTAGTATGTTATGGCAGTATGTTATGGCAGTATGTTATGGTAGTATGTTATGGCAGTATGTTATGGCAGTATGTTATGGCAGTATGTTATGGCAGTATGTTATGGCAGTATGTTATGGTAGTATGTTATGGCAGTATGTTATGGTAGTATGTTATGGTAGTATGTTATGGCAGTATGTTATGGTAGTATGTTATGGTAGTATGTTATGGCAGTATGTTATGGCAGTATGTTATGGTAGTATGTTATGGCAGTATGTTATGGCAGTATGTTATGGCAGTATGTTATGGCAGTATGTTATGGTAGTATGTTAAGGGAAATTTTGTGGGAAAAAAATGCAACATGGATAGAACAGAAAGGGAGGACGGGTAAAGATGATGGATGGATGGATGGATGGATGGATAGACAGACAGAAAAAAACAGGACCAAATGCCCAGTCACTATCCTTGAGGTGTGTGATTGTGGATGATTACTTTCTTCTTCATTTTATTTGTATGTTTCCTTATCCTCTTCCTTTAAAAATGTATAAAGATTTCCCCTGATTATTCAGCTATGAGGACAATACCCAGCTGGAAAATACATAATCTGGCTGACGCTCTGCTCGACCCGGAGGTACGGAGGGGTTTCTCATGCTCCCAGCACCACCCATATTTCCCTCAGTGTCCTCCAGCCCCATTCTCCTCACTAGCAGGAAATCTCAGGACCCAAGTTACGTCTGTGACCCACATCCATGCCCCATCCTTCCTGTCACCTCCCATCCCTGCATCCTCTCACCCACCTCCCCCAGTGCAAATTGTCCCAGAGTTTGCTGCCCACATTGTGGGCATGGACATGTCATCAGGCCACCTTAGAGGAGGGCCCTGCCTGCTCTCGGTGCCCCAGTCCTCTCAACACGGAGATCTGCCTTGGAACCAAGGATCGTTTATCTAAATTATATCTTTGCCCCTTCTCATTGTAATTTATAACCACCCCTGTTTCCCAAGAGAAGTGAGGTGAGTGCTAATGTCAAAACTATAAGGAAAAGGAAATAGAACCAAATCAAATCAAAAAGGAGAAAAGTCACCATTGCAGGCTGAGCTAGAGATGTTGCTGGCCCCAGGACATGAAGCCGAGCTCTGAGCTTCCTGGAGGCCAAGAGGGTCTGGGTCTTGACTCTCCACCACCTAAAGCCAGGCAGAGCAGAGTCTACCCTGAATCCAGACTTGTAAACAAATGTGCCTGTGGCTGGATCCACTGGTCACCAAGAGGTTCAGGGGTGGGGCAGGGGCAGGAGAACTTACAAGAACAGAGACACTTTTTCCTCCTGCTGACTCTCCAAAAATGGTCACAGAGCCTGGGTTCCCTCCAAAGTTGGCAATGTTGTCCTGGACCCAGCGCAGAGCAGCCACCTGGTCCAGGTGACCCCAGTTCCCTGAGCTGTGCTCATCCCCAGTGCTGCAAGATAATAGGGTGGGGTGGGACTAGAGATGTCATGGCAGAGCTCTGAGGACCAGAGATGAGCTAGGGACTCAGTGGTCACCACCTGACTGTCATTCCTGTAGCACTGCTCTGCAAGGAATCTCCATTCATTCTTCCAGCAATGATGTGCTGAGTGAGCACCTACTATGCACCCTATACCAGTCTAAGAGTTAAAGCATCCTTAGGAACCAAACAGGCAAAACCTGACTACACTCAGCTCACACTCCAGAGCACAAACAGATGAAAAGAGAACACAATGTTCATGAGTGAAGGTGATTCGAGGTAATGACAGGTAATGACAGAGGCAGGGTGGGGTAGTGGGAGGGTTTCAGATCTCAGCACAAGGGAAGGCCTCTGTGGGGCAGTGGCATTGGGTACAGACCAGCATGAAAGGAGCACAGGTCTTTCTTGTAAATGTCCAAAGGAGAAATTCTGGGAGGACAAGCAGCAGGTGCGAAGGCCCCAGGGCCAAGGGCACCAAAGTGTGAGTGTAGCTAGAGTGAGAGGCAGCTAGAGAGGGTGCTGGGGGCCTTGGAGGGGACTTCTCTGTCACCATCAGTGACCTGGGAACTCTCAACAGAGTCAGGGCGAGACTCACCCTGTGCCTCTCATGATCACTGGCCACTGTGGACTGTCACCGCGTCCGAGTCACAGGTTTATGAATATGGTCACAACAATAATCCAGCCAGAGACACAGCCTTGAAGCTAGTGGGGGAGGGGCTGGATTCTGAGCGCATTTACAGGAGGGGCCCTGTGGATCCGCTGGCCTACCAAGGTGGGGAGCAAGTACAGAGGAGCCTCCAGGCTGCCCCAGGCCTTCACCCTGACCACCCAGGAGGGGGAAGTTGCAGCAGGGGCACAGGGGCTGTGGGACAGCAGGAGAGCCTGAGATGGGGTGTGGGGGGGTCTGTCCCTGTGAAGTGGAGGGTTCCCTGTGCACAGCCAGGGCAGTAGGAGGAGGCAGCTAAGGTGGCACCTGGGTTCCAAGTGCTACTGGGCTCACTCAGGGAATCAGTGGAGGGAGAGGGAGACCCAGAGGCCTGAGCAAGGGGAGCAGGAGGGGCCAGCAAGGCAGCTGAGAGGGAGCAGCCAGCTGGGAGTGGGCGGTGACCCGAGCCCAGGAGAAGGAGGCACCTGCTTGGCTGCTGCTGAGAGGTCATGTGGTCTGCGCTGAGCCCTGTGGTAATGATTGGCCTCTTCTGGACAGCCTGGTGGCAAGGCCCTCTGAACCCTGCCAGCCCAGCATTCGCTGAGCTCCCTCCGTGGCACTGCCCTTGCTTCCTTTCCCAGAGCAGAATGTGGCATCGCACCCGGGGCTGCACGATGACCGACATCAGAGGACTGCGTGTGCCAGAGCGGCCCAGGTGTAGGAGGAGGAGCATTTCAGAGACTCTCAACCCCGAAGCCCACTCCTCGCAGGGTGATTAGGAGTGTGACAGCTGGGGGAGCCATGCCAGCGGAGGGCATAGCACATGCAAAAGCCTGGAAGCAAGTGGCCAAGTGTGACTGGGAGTGAGAAGGTCGAAGGGTGCATTAGGAAGGACCTTAGCAGAGCACTTCATGAGCAAGGACATCACCTTTTTGCTTTTGTGGCTTCTATGGTTTGGGTGTGGTTTGTCTCCCAAGGGATCATGTGATGCAGCTTTTGCGGCAATATTTTAATCAGTTATGGAACCTATGCAAGACGAGGTCTGGTGGAAGGTGATCCGGTCATTGGGGTGCCACCCTGAGAGGGGTTAACCTAGAGCTCATGGGATCTGGTTAGTTCAGAGACATTGAGTTGTTCCAAAAAGAGCAAGACCACCCCACACCCCACTTTCTGGCTCCCCATCTCACTGTGGTGAGTTCTGCATGTACAGTTTCCCTTTATGTCTCTACCATATTTTGATGCAGAATAACAGGCCTTCCACAAAGACCAATCCATTGAAGCCACTCCAAACTGTGAGATAAAACTCTTTTCTTTATATTTACTAATGCAGGGGCTACTGTGCAGAGAGGAGAGTCCAGCGCCTTACCTGAAGAACCCCCAGATGCCCAGGCGGTACTGGATGGTCACCACCACCACGTTTTCAAGGGCAGAGAGGGGCAGTCCATCATAGGTGGATGCCCCGCCCACCACCAGACCACCTCCATGGATCCACACCATCACCTGGGCAACACAGACACAACCATACTAGTTATAGGAAGCAGAATTAGAGAAGACCTCAGAGGTCTGTCACCTACATCTTGGCTGTGACTCACAGAGGCCAGTAGCAACATCCACCCGTGTTAACGTTGGATATGAGGTGTCCCCCAAAAGCTCACGTGTGGGATAATGCAAAAAGGTTCAGAGGAGAAATGACTGGATTGTAAGAGTCTTAACACAATCAGTAAATTAATCCCTTATGGAATTAGCCCAGTGGTAACTAGAGGGGGGTGGGGTGTGGCTGGAGGAAGTGATTAATTAGGGGTGTGGCTATGGGGTATATCTTTTGTACCTAGGCTGGAGTCTCTCTCTGCTTCAGGATCACCTCTGCCACACACTCCGCCATGATGTTCTGCCTCACCTCCAGCCCTGAGGAATGGAGCTGGCCTTCTCTGGACTAAGACTCTAAAACCATGAGCCCTCAAATAAACTTTTCCTGCCCTAGAGTTGTGCTGGTCTGATCCTTTAGTCCTAGCAGCGAAAAAGCTGACTAAAACACCCAGAGTCCAGCAAGGTTGCAAAAGGCAGTCTCTCACCTCCCCAAGTCCCCCTGCTCAGGGCCCAGGAACCCCTGACTCAGTGTACCCACCTTTATGCCAGACCTATGTCCTCCCAAAGCCCTTAAAACTGCAATGTCACCAGAGGAACAGCAATAACCAAGAACACTGTGTTCTCCCCAATGCTCCCATGGTCCTCATGCCTGGACCAGTCAACCAGTTGGACATAAGCAAGGGGCAGATCTTGCACTTCAGCTGCACCTGCATTAACTCTAGTGAGGAATAAACTTCCCTGTGCAGGAATGATTTCCTCAGGAATCACAACCCCACCCCCGAGGTGACCCTTCCTATGCACCTGCCTCTGCCTCGCCTGCACATCCAATGTTACCCACCCCCCTAAGAACACCTCACATCACCAATCCTGGAAGCCTCAGTCACTTGACTAACATTATCCAAAATCTTGCTGTATGCCAGAGACTGTGATAAAGCCAGAGGGTAAGAGTGGGTATTATAATCTGAAATTCATAGTTCTTGCATTTAAAGAGTTCACATAGCAGGGAATTATTATAATAATATTTGTAATACAAAAAGAATCATAACATGAACTAAGTACCAAGTACTGTTTAAGTACTTTGAAATTAACTATCTACAAGGTAAACACTAATATTGTCTCATTTGACAAGAAATGTGAGGATTAACCTGCCTAAAGTTCCACAGCTAATAAGTGGTTCAAGCAGGGCTTGACCCAGACTGACTGGCCCCAGAGTCCATGGTCTGAGTTGCCCAACTCCCTGCCACCCAGGGCCACAGCCCTAGCACAGTGAGTCCACTGGGGGCAGGAAGAAGGTCCTACTATAGCTCTAACTTGAGTTCCAGGAGGGCTCGCTCTGCGCACTCAGCCAGCCCTGAGATGAAGCCCGACCGCCATCATTAGACACTCACACGGGATTCTTCCCACGAGAGGAAGCAGAGGCTGAGGAGGCTGAGGACTTGCCCAAGACTCTCAGCCAGGACAAGGCAGACCCAGGATCCAAACCCAGACCCTGGAGATCTAGACCCTGTGTCCACAGCTGGGGGTCTCCTGCCTCCAGGCTCCCAGAGCCCTGTTTCTCCTGCACCTCTGATCCTGCTGTCCCCAGGGAGGGACTGAGTCGGGGTCACCTGAGTGAAGGTGAGCTCAAGGACAGGTCAGCACAGACAGGCTGAAGAGGCCAGGACGTGTGTGACGCAGATGGCAAGACCTGGAGGGCAGGGGCTGCTGGGCAAGGCGCCATGCCCCTGCTCCCCCTAAGCCCAGAGGTCAGCTGGGCAGATGGGGTCACTGAGCACACAACAGCAGGATGAGTGGGAAAAGTGTGTGACTGAGGGACCCTGTCCCCCTGCCTTGTGTCTAACAAGCACATGCAGGACCAACTTCAAAAGTCCCTAGTTCAAACCTCCTCCCCAACTCTTGGGAACCGTGCCAGAGTGCTCCTGGGGCACTAGCTGGGAGCTGACCCCCTCTTTATTCCAGTTCAGGTATGACGTCCTTCCAGCAGGTCCCTCACCCTCTGGCCTGCTCCTGGCAGCCGGCCCACCTCTGGCTCTTCCTTCTTGGAAAACGCTGACTCACTGGGCATCAGCCTGAGCCAGCGGCAGTTAGTGAGGAAAATGATCTCCCATAAGACCTCAGATGCTTGGCCTGAGCAAGGACAGCGCTTCTAAGGTTGTCCCAGCCCTGCTGCTGCCCACCACACCTCTGTCAAGGGACAGAGACAGTGTTCAGGGGACAGTGGACGTGGTCACAGGGTATGTGCTGCAGAAAGGTGACACATGTGCTCCACTTCCTAGCCTGCTCAGGGACATTGGTTTAAAGATGAGAAGCCCCAAGCTCTGGTCCTGTCACCCTTCTGTGTGGCCTCCTTTCCCCCATCTGGGTCTCAGTTTCTCTAAAATTCTTTCCAGCTCTAGTAGACTGCTCTGGAGATCAGATTCTTAATTCTAGAAACCAGCAGTAATCATTCTGGTCCTTCTGTTCGTGTGAGAGAACATGAAAAACCTGAAATGTGCATTCCAGATAGTGCAAGATCTCCCCCAGAGGCTGAAGTCCCTAGGGCAAACCGAGGTAAGAGCCACCTGTATTTCCTGTGGCCACGGGAACCTCTGGGTCCTGAGTCACATGGCCTGTGGTGCCCCTCACCCAAGCTGCCTTCGTGGCCTTCAGACCCAGAGATCTCAGACACTGAAACTCCCAAGTCTTGACAAGTGGGGCCCACGCTCACCGGCAGGCTGCTTCTCCTGGTCAGGTCTGCGGGAGTGTAAATGTTCAGGTAGAGGCAGTCTTCAGAGAACTGGAGGGGAATGTTCTCCTTCCTGTTGGTAAGGAGATCGGAGACCTTCTGCCCCCCCACTGCATCTTGGGAACACCTGGGAGAGGAGAAAGAAGGAGATTTGAGGTTCAGGCAGATGGAGGCTGGAAGTGTCACCTGGAGCCAGACCTTAAGCTTCTCAGTGGATCTGCTATCACTGGACTTGACACACTGGAGTGAGTGAGAAGCTCACTGGGAGTTTGGTGAGGACCCTGGGACTCTCTTGAGTCTCCCCAGATCATGCAGAGTGACAGGGACTTCACTCTTTTTCCTTTCCTGGAGCCTATGGGATGCCCTGGGTCCAGGAAAGGAGGCTGCCCACACACTGGCCTGCCCTGAGAGCTGACATGTCCAGCATTCCCAGGACAAGGTCCCAATAATGTTTGACCTATAGGATGACTGTGTTCTTCCACCAGGTAACCATGGGAGACTTCAGCAACCAAGATGGAATACATTTATCCTGAAGCAGGCTACGGGTGACATGCTGTGGGACAACCTCAGCATAACCGCAGTCTAGTCCTGCTTTAGTCATATGTGCTGGGCGACCTTAGGTGAATTGCCATCCGCTCTGGGTTCCAATGCACCAGGTATAAGTGAGAGGAGTGCTTTTCCTAAGGGTCTTATAGCCCTGGCATGTTAAGATTCTATCGTGACCCTATCCCAGGCAACCACTCTTGGCTGCGCTGAGAAAAGGTCTCCAAGATCCAACTTATAAAGGAATTGATAACATTGTTGAGTTCTCTCAATGTGCCAGGTCCTGATTTAAATTATTTTCATGGACTAATTGCTTTATGCTTCAGATCAGCCCCAGGATATGGGAATCTGTTATTATCCACATTTTACAGATCATAAAACTGTGTCACAGAGAGGTTCCACAATCGGCCCTAGTTCACACAGCCAAGAAGACACTTGCTATATAATATTGGTGTCCCCAAGTACATTCTAAGCAATATCTCTGGATCTCAATAGACACAGAAGACAAGCATTGCTGTCCCCAGTATGTACAAGACATAAACAAGGCACACAAGTGTCAGCAAGACACAATTATCAAGTGGCAGAGTGGAGCCAGGAAGCATGTCTTGCAGTTGTTCTCTCTTTGGAGTTGTTCACAGATTTCCAAGCACAACAGGAATATGACTCAAAAACTAGAATGCAAATGTTAAAAGCTGGAAAAGATTTCAACTTCACTAGTATTTAGATAAATGCAACATAAAGACCAAAATGATGGTTATTATTGTTTGATTGTTGTGTTACTGTTTTGTTTACCAAATTCCCCCAAAGCATTCTTTTAATAACCTCAAGCATTGCTAAGGGTCTGCTGCATGGAGATTTTCATCTAATGTTGGCAGGAATATTCACAGAATATTTCTTGAGGGAAATTTAACAAAAGGCGCACACTCTTTGGGAAATTCCATTTCTTGGAACTTACCCTAAAATATCCATAAACGGGTATCATGATTTAGCTACATGATGTTCCTCAGAGTGTGATGATGATGTCAAAAACATCAAAACCAACTTAATGAACTCAAGCGAGACATGGAGGAAATCAATTGCATCTCAATAACAAATTCAATGCAACTATTCAATGCCAGCTTCAGATATTTAAAGGCACAAGACAAAGTTGATGATACACTGATCCATGAGTAAGGTGGTCATTCCAACTACCCGTATGTACCATCCATTTTCAAGGCAGGAAGGCTGCAACAGGATCTCCAATGTCAACAGCAGTTCCTCCTGGATCATGGGACCGCATGTGATTTTCATTTTCTCGCCTACACTTCTCTGTATCTCCTAACATATTTGCAATATGTATGTATGGCACTCGAAATCAGGAATTTAAAACTGAATATTAACTTTTTAAAGAAAGGACTGGAAAGAAGGCAGCCAAAAGTGGGATTCTGGACATCCCAGAAATACCCAATGAGGAGAAGATGAAAGTCATAAATGACACCTGTAGGTGTCTGAGGGGCTCTAGTGTGATCATGAGGACATCTGGAATCTTTGGGCTTGTACCCCACTGGCCAGGGTTCCTGGGCCCAACAACCTTTGCTTTGCCTATGACTATAACTAGACACAGGTGGGCGGTGAGAACTCACCAAGGTGACCCTCCAATGCACCCAGACACACACCTTCACCCACCCCACTCCCAGCTCACCAACTTTCAATATAAAAAAGATAAGATGACTACTTCTTATCTCTCTCACCTGCTCAACAGCTCTTTCTCCAACGTACTAATCACCAAGCATGTTCTAACACAGCATGACATAATTCATTGTTTACCTTCAGTGTTTTTCGTTATCTCACGCACTCTCCCTGCAGGACTAGAAGCTCCATAGAGCCAGGATCTTTCTTTGGCTTACCGATGGATTCTAAGAACCAAGGGCAAGCTGGGCACAGATTAGATGATCAAGAACTAGTGTTGAATAAAGGGCTCTAGGTCCCTGAGAGGTCCGGACTGTTTCAAGGCTCTGCAGTGTTCTAGAAGATTCCAGAAGATTCCAGAAGAAAGGAGAGCCAAGCCCAGGACGGCCGCCACCCCCTCCTGCAGCACGGAGGGACAAACCCCCCTGGGACAGGCCACCACTTACAT